TGGTCCTAGCCCCAGCCTTTTTACTCTCTCAGTTTCATTCATAATCATTTAATTTTTCTGTAGCGACGGCAGGATGGAGGCAGAGTCTCTCACTGAGGTTTACACTGACATGGCCCAAATGAATCAGTTGATGCAGGGCCTGTGTCCTTCAGCAGTTCTACCTGGCATGCTAACCTCAGAGACTCAGGTGGTAGTCCAGATGTGTGCTGGCTGCTTTGAGTAGCTTCTGTCCAACTCTTGAATCTAAAGAGTCTTTGAGCTGTGTCTTTCTCTCTTCTAACTTTCGGGTAGTTTCCCTAGTACATGACTTACTTCTTAAAATAATAGTTTTACTGTTTCTTGGTTAAATTCCCTTTACCTTCACCAAGGGATACACCAAGTAGAAGGTCTGTAATTCAGCCAGTCGTGTAATGGTAACAAATCATCCTGTATCCTGTCCCAGATGCCTGTGCTCCTGATATCCGTTAATCTAACATTCTGCAGGGGCTGGGGGGAGGGGATAAGGATTCTTTGGGGATCTCTGCACAGAACAAAGTTCTGTTGCCCACTGCTTCCTTTTCTGATTTATGTAGTATTTAGGATACTGTTTAAGTTCAATCATCCTTGTCAGAGTCTGAAGTTCTCCTGCATTAGCCTGCATTCATGACTGAAGAATTTTGATGTTTTCTATCTCCATACATAATTCTTCTTTGCCAAGAAGTTTTCCTAACACACACACATATTAGATGCTAAATGAAATGAGCTCTGTTTTTCCATGGAAGAAAGAAAATAAGGGCTACGATCAAAATGTCAATTCTTCCGATTTGTCCTCCAAACTCTGGGTTTTGAGAGGCCATTTTAGCAAGAGAACTAACTAAAGAATTTTTAAGCATTTCTTCACTTTCGTAACTAAAATCAAACTGATGTGTTTATGGAAGTCCTTGGATTTGCTTTGATGTTGACTACTTTGGAGTATTTAGCAGTAACAATAGAAAATGGAAGAAAGGAAAAAGAAGTCCTATTTAACTATTCCTTGCCCAAGTCTTCTCAGATGCATGAAGATAGAGCTCTCCATTTATCTTACACAAAAAAAATTTTTATATTAAAAACATCAAATATTTACACTATAAAAGCTTTAAATATATACTTCTACAGGTAAAACTTAAAAGGAGTAAGGTACCACAAGGTCTCAGACATCAACATTTGAGATCAACTCATTAATTATTCTCAATAACATTTAATTCCTAATACAAATGATAAATGTGTTATGAGCATCTAGCCAGAAAATTTCTACTGTCATATCTCAGACGCATTTAGAAATGTATAACTATAAAAGTCAAAAAATTCCTAGCTGGATGAATTTTTTATTTTATGTAAAGAACAAAATCTCTTAAAATGACATCACTTTAGAAATGATCACTATGCTTTAAGGTGGCTCCCTTAACAAAACAAAACAGGCAGGGCAAATTAAGTTATCTTCTTGTTGTTGTTAAGTGCTATAGAGTCGATTCCGATCCATAGTGACCCTATACAGGGTTTCCAAGGCTGTAAATCTTTATGGGAGCAGAAAGCCTCATCTTTCTCCCGCAGAACAGCTGGTAGTTTGGAACTGCTGACCTTGCGGTTCACAACCCGATTCTTAACCACTTAGGGGATTAAAAAAAATCAAGAATGAAAGAACACTTCTACTTTTAAAATAAAGATACCATTTCCAATCCTGAAGTTGAAACATTTTCTCCAATAAACTCACACACACACACACACACACATATATATACACAGACTCATAGGGTCTGATTTAAACAACAAAGGAGTCCCTGGGTGGTACAAACAGATAGCCCTCCTGCCTGCTAGCTGAAAGACAGGAGGTTTGAGTTCATCAAGCGGTGCCTCAGAAGAATGGACTGCACTCTACTTCTGAAAATACCTGTCACTGCAAATCCTAGAGAGAACACTTCTACTGTCGAACATGCATGGGGTTCCAGTAAGTTGGAATCAACTCGACAGCAACTGGGTTTCGTTTTCTTGGTTGTTGTTTTTTTTTTTTAACAAACAGTTGCCTACCTTTCACTTGTTCTTTCTCAAATGAATACAAACAACAATCAAAAAATGGTTATTGCTATTAATTCCCAACAATAAATTTCGTAGTTACCTTCTCATACATTAGCCAGAAAGAGATTCAAGTTGTTCTATAACAAGTAGTCTTAGGATTATAGTAAAGTCTAGGAGATAAGCACACCACCATAAGATCGGTTTGAACTGCAATGTCAGCAGTTCAAAGTCACCAGCCGCTCCTCAGAAATCCTATACAGGTCACTATGAGTCAGAACCAACTCAACGACTTAACAACAAAGGTATTAGTGTAATAATGGCTTTGATAAAGTGAAAGCAAAGATCCAAGCAGAAAGTTAGCAAATCATGTAAGAAAACTAGCGACAGTAAGTTGCTGCCTTAACAAGAACAGTTTTTAAAATGTTAAGTTGGACACAAATAGAGACAGCAAGATTTTTGTTTCATTTCCTGTTATGTGCCAAATTTTACTTTATTAGCAAAACTGACAGTTATATTAAAGCAGAATTTACTACTGGCATTTGTTATGTGCCATGGAGTCGGTTCCGACTCATAGCGACCCTGTACAGGGTTTCCGAGGCTGTAAATCTTTACAGGAGCAGAAAGCCAGCCTCATCTTTCTTCCGTGGAACAGCTGGTAGTTTCGAACTGCTGACTGTGAGATTATTAGTAGCCTTATTTGTAACCACTACGCTACCAGAGCTCCTTACTACTGGCATACAAATACACAAAACTCCACTTTGATAACCAAACTGTGCCGTGTCCTTTGGCAGCCAGTTTTTTGTTTTCAAGGAAGTCTGTCTAAGCTAAAGCCACTTTTGAATTATAACAATTGGGGAAGCTTCTAGAATATACACAAAGTCCCAGGATGGTGCTCAACTGGACATGTCTGAATTGGGGCTAGCACTCAAATTGGGGGCTAGACAAATTTAGCCTGAATTGACTAAAAATGGGAGCTGCTGCTCAGTGTGAAAAGAAGAATCCTTTTGGATCCCCTTTTCTATCATGCCTAGAATTTGACACAAAGAGAAGGAAAAAAAAACATCTTGAGCCTTTAGAAGATACCCAAAAAGTAAATTTGAGAAGGTAATGGTTGACTGGATACCCTAGAAAGTTCCTCTGAAAAAAAAAGAAGAGTTACAAAGTTAATTTTATTGTCCTCTCCTCGCCATAGAATACTAAAATGCTTCCCTAAGGAAGGAAAACTATAGGTGTTCATTTGTTCTAGAAACAAGTACAAAGCTTTTCATGACTGTTAAGTAGTGATTTCTAAGATCATATTTCATTGAAAAATAGCACAAAGCCTTAATCTAATACAGCTACGAAAATAAGGAAACATTTTTCTCTGCTGCCTGACTCTTGCATTTTGCCATACTGAAAAGTACTAAATTCTCCATAGGAAGTATACATTTTTAACAATTATCAGTCACTGAAGATTCTTTCACATTATAGAAAAATGCTGGCAAATACATAAATCAATTAAACCTTGCCTCAAAAAGTAACTTGAGCAGTGACGCCAGAGATGGAGGCAGAGACAATGACGTGGAGAGAAGGAGCGGCTGGGGACTCTGGACTCAGGGGGGGAGAGGGGCGGAGTGCTGAAGGCCGGGGGGCAGGCGTGTGGGATGTACCCTTTGGTTGTTTGATGATGCATGCAGGAGATTGTAATCATTGCAATGAAATGAAATAAAATAGGATGAACATAAAGCTAATGTTCTCCCATGTAAGCTATCACATAATTCACAATAAAAACTTAAAAAAAAACACAGCACAGGCAAACATAAAGAAAATTAATAATAACTTGAATTACAAATTCCTCAAGATAAAAGGAAACCAATGTAGTTAGTTAATTCTTACAAGGTAATTTATGTTTTTATCATAAATTTCTGCAGTCAGTCATATAGGTAACAAGCAGATGAAGCAAATGTCACCCTGAACAAATACTTAGCAAAGTGGAAGAGTAAAAAGATGTGAGCTCCGGGGGAATTCATCGTGATTGAAGATCCTGACGTGATGTAATTAAAGAACTGAACCTGTGACCCTCCTCCCTCAGCCTCTGTAAACTGGGATTGCCTGTTAAAATTGTTATGGAAGCCCACATGCGTTAACAGTAGGGTAGTGGCTATGAGTCAGGCTGCTAATCTCAAAGTCAGCAGTTCGAAACTACCAGTGGGTTCTTCGGGAGAAAAATGACGCTTTCTGCTGCTGTAAAGATTTACAGCCTGGGGAACCCTATTCAGGGTCTCTGAGTCAGAACTGATTCCGCAGCTCATTACCACCAACCACTATCATGCATAACAGGAACTAGAAAAGCATCCAGCCCTGTTTTTTATTCAAAGAACTGCTCCTTGGGCCAGAACCACACTACCTGAAGATGAAGAATAGTAGCTAACATAAAGGCAGCCCAGGGGATGACAACATGAAACCTAGCAGAAACATTAAGAGAGAAAAAGGGCAGCTTTCAGGAGAAGAAAAAAACGGGATCATCGTAGATACTAATCCATCGTAGATACTAACCGGTTTGAAAGTTTCTGTGAAACTTTCTCAGAAAGAGAGGGCCAGAGGAACAGGGCAATAAGTGATGGGGCTGGTAGATGCAGTGGGGAAGAGGAAAGAGGACACAGTGTTCCCACAGGGGAAAGGAAACAAGCGCTGGTTAAATATGAAAAGAATAAAGCAAATAGATAATCTTATTAAATTTAAGAAGCAAACCCAAACCCCTTTAACCAATATGAAAAAACGGAAACATTACTACTTTAAGGAATTAGAGAAAAGCAAAATGAAGTCTCAGCTCCCTGCCTCTTCCATTGTGGGAGCTGGCTCTCCAGGCTCAAGGTGCATCCTGTGACTTCCAGCAGGTAGTCTAGAATGGAGGAGCCACAAAACTTTCTTGGTACCAGAGGTAATCTACCAAAGGTGCAGAAAGTAAATAGGGCAATTGAAACAGATTTCACAGTACTTGATTCAAGAGTTTACTGAGCAGAAAGATCACGAAAGTTGGTCCTTTGTCACCTCTGACAAGTGGTTTTTATATACTTTATTACAAATAAAACAATCTTGCTTGACAATACCATCAGTCATCTTACAAACAGAAGATTAAATAATCCTAAAGTAATAGGGTATCTCTAGGGTCTGAGCTTTTCCTAAAAACAAAACTATACTACTAGTGAATCCTGTATCTAAATCTATACAGCATCTTTAAACAGTGTGGAAATGAAATTATTATTTATTAATTTACATAAAATTACTTTATACATTAAAGAATACAATTTCAATTGTAAAAAAAACACAACTTTGAAGCTGTTGTTATTGGGATTCATGGGACATGGTTTGCTCTTCAATCACTTGCTTCACAATTTCTGCCAGTTTTAGTCGATCCACTTTATCTGTGAATCCACGACCTAAAACCCAAGAAAGAAGAGGTCAGCCCGCAAACTCTAGATAGTGATGAGAGACTCTTGATAGGGAACCATGAAGTTACACTGGTGGTTGTTGTGAAGTGCTGCCAAGTTGGATCCAAACCATAGCAACTCTGTATAGAGTTTCCAAGGAGCAGCTAGTAGGTTTGAATCACCAACCCTGTAGTTAGCAGTCTAGTGCTTATCCTACAGTGCCATACCAGGACTCCATTGTACATCTTCCAACAGTGTCAAATTACCCATACTAATGCAGAAACCACCCCCAGTATTGATCAAACACACTCAATTCAGATTCCCCTATATCTTAAGTAGCAACTGGGCAGTTTCATTAATGCAGTAGTAAAAAATCCAAAATTCATTACAACACAAAAGCAAACCTTAAGGAGGGAGATCTTTGTACTATCTATGTGTATCTGATAATGAATTTGTAACTAGATTATATAAAGAAATCCCATAATCTACTAGTTTCAAAAAGTACAACTCCTTAAAAAACTGGACAAAAGGCACAAACACACATTTTATGAATGAGTGGAACTAAATGGTCAATAAACATCTGAAAAGTGTTCAATCTTATCAATCATCAGAGAAACACAAATTAAAATGACTGGCATTACAGGACCACTATATATACCAACCATATAAATGTGGAACTGGAACTTACTGTTAGTGAAATTTATGTTTGTTCAACCACACTGGGAAACAGGTACCTACTAATGCCAAACTGATGTAATTTTTGTCTCCCATGACCCAGAAAATGTAATCCCAGATACTTTAAAAGAAATGAGTAAATTATGTTCATCTTAAGTGTTCATAACAGCCCTTTTCTTAATTCCAAAAACTTGGAAATACTCCAAATACAAGCAGTCCTGGGTTACCAATATCTGACTTAAAAACAACTCCTACTTGAAAGTTATGTCAACTTGCCCTGATTTTGAAAAGACTGAACCAATCAAATACCAAACCCTCTGCCAAACTGATTCTGACCCATAGTGCCCCTCCCTACAGGACAGAGTAGAACGACCCCATAAGGTTTCTGAGGCTATAAACCTTTACACGGAGTCAAGTGCCACCTCTTACTCCCAACCTTATGGTTAGCACCCAAGTGCTGTAACCCCTGCACAACAAGGGCACCTTGAACTACCCTATTTCACAATAAAATCTTCATCACAAGCACCTTCACTTGCTACATACACAAACTTCAAGCCTTTCATTTTGTGTTAAGTGCCATCGAGACAGTTCTGACTCATAGCGACCCAGTATAAGGTTTCCAGGGAGCAGTGGGGGTTTGAACCTTAGAATGGGTAGTTAATATTTTAGTATATCACATAATGAGCTACTGAACAGGACAGAGAATGAATGCTCTGCTACTATATGAAACAACATGGATGAATCTCTCAAACATGATGTGGACTAAAAGAATTCAGACACAAAATAACTATGACCAATTCCATTTACATAAAATGCAAAAACAGGCAAAACAGATCTAGTGCTAGAAATCAGTATAGTGATTACCCTTGAGGGAAGGGAGCCAATAAATGGGAGAGAGCACATTCTACAACATACTACATTCAATGTGTGAGAAATCAGCAAGACATTTTAAATGGCATCACATATTGCTGGTTATATTTCAAAAACCAAAATGCCAGGAACACTAATCGCTACCACATTGGCACTTTGGATTTCCCATGGTCTGTCTAAGAGCACAGCCAGCCAGTGAAGTCAGAGTTTGCTCTTTCCCTAAGCATCCTGAAGCTCAAGGCCATTTCAGTCTGCTCAACTAGAAAGGCAATGCAAAACGCAATACAAAATGGGGTATAGACTTGGACTCTGTAGCTTCTGACTAGGAAAAATGTGTGAATTAATCCTATCTCTTACCACCAGTGCTATATAATGGGACTCAGTAAAGTCAGATGCAACTATATAATACCAATTATATTTTATTCATAATAAATTTATTATATTCTAATACCAAAAACAAAGGCTAAAGTCAGATGTAAATATATAGTACAAATTATATTTTATTCATAATAAATTTATTACATTCTAATACCAAAAACAAAGGCTAAAGTCAGATGTAAATATATAATACAAATTATATTTTATCCATAATAAATTTATTACATTCTAATGCAACAAAAAAAGGCAATGCAAGGAATACATCTCTGCCTTGTTTTTCTGACCCTGGGGGTAAAATTCACTAGTGTCAGATTTGGCAAACCCTCTACTTACTCCTTAGTGGAATCCTGGTGTGGCGCTGTAGATTAATGTGCCAGACTGCAAAGCTGTTTGAACTGCAAGGTTGCGGTTCAAGCTCACCAGCTGCTCCTTGGAAACCCTAGACAGGGTCGCTATGGGTCAGAACCAACTCGACGGCACTTAACAACAACAATTACTCCTTAGTGGGAGTACTGAAATGGCAATGTGGGTTAATGCGCTTGACTTCAAAGTCAGCAGTTCAAGCTCACCAGCCACTTCTTGGAAACCCTACACCAACTCGATGGCACTTAACAACAATAACTACTCCTTAGTGAAGCAGCTGTTCTCTAAGTCAGGCAGATCAGCAGGGAGATGTCCCTGGTACTTTGTCCTCTTTCTCCCCTTCAGAATATACTGGTGAACAGTCCTTCTACCTGGGACAAGTTCTGAGATTTGGAGTTTGTTTTGTGTGTTTATTGCCATAGTAGAGTGTGACATGGGGCTGCTCTGCAGTGTGAAATCTGTGTAACACAATTCACCTAACTCTGGAAAACAACTCAAAGGATCAGATATGCCAGGACAGTTAGCATACGCTGGAAGTAACACCTGACTCTTCATCTGGAAAGAGACCCAGCTCGCCACCCCAACATATCCTATATGTTCTAAAAATCAGCAATTCTCTGCATCCCTGGACAAAGGAGTGACTAAGGGTTCCTACCGTTCCAGCTGAAGCTTTGCAGAGTATCTCTTAGGAGTTTACATTCTCGGTTATATTTCCAAGCCTCTTGCATTACTTCATTTAGCTTCTCATCTTCATTTTCTCCTATTGATAAGGAAAAAGGAAGTTCCATTTTTCCTGCAGAATCATGGGATTTTAGTGTCAGAATTGGAAAACACAGTATCCAACTGGTTAAGAATTCTACTTGGAAGGCTCCAGAGTCTTAGTATTGGGGTGTGGGAAGTAGGAGCAGCGTCAGACCCTATGCATACCTAGTTAACCTCAGAGCAAAGAAGAAGAGGACGACAACAATGAATGGGTTACATTCTTTCTCCAAAGCTCATTTCCTACATTAAAATCAGATTACTTACAAAAACACACACCCACAGTGCAAAAGGCTATTTGAGGCGCATTATGTGGATTCTCTTAAAACCCAACGGGCTACGAAGAAAGGCCAAACCAATACCTTACTGGCCTGGTACGTGAGCCCATCGCCTTCATTCTATCAATCTGCTGAGCAAAGCCCAGCATCACCCAGTTGAGTGGAGAAAATACAATGAACGAGAGCTCTCACCCCAAAAGGAGCCATGTAAGTCACTCCCCCTCTGACAGAAGGAGCAACCAGGGCCATTCCTGAACTAGAGAGGCAATCTTCTTATAGTCACAAGTTCATGGCAACCAAGAACTCTAAAGGACCTGGAAACATTGTTTCAGCAGGCTGCAACCTATTTCTGACCCAATCCCCGTTTTTCTATTCTCCATTCTGTGCTCTTGTGCCCTTTGTGCCAAACTAAGAATCACATGGGCAATTAACACTAAACCATAAATTTCATAGAAAACCAAAGAAGAGGCACAATTTCTCACATCTGAGTTCCTGCTATCTATTCTTTTAGTGCGTACATTCTAATTCACATAAAGTACTTATTTTCTTAGAACACAAAGACGAAACAGACAAATGTAAATTAAACCATTCATTTTCTTAGATGTGTCCAAACATGCACAAACACACACACACAAAGAGAACATTCATAAATGGTGTGACCTTTACCAGCCTGGGGTAGAATACACTGAGCTATCACATCCCGGAGCTTTTCCAAGGCAACATTTGAATCCTCAACTCCATTCTCACGGTCGTGGATATATACACTATCTTTTGGCTTGGTGCTACAAAAATTTGGGAAAAAGATAATAACATGAGACCCCAAAACCCAGCCCTGGGCAGATGCTTACTCTATATGTAAGGCATCAGGTAACTAATTAACTACAGGCTGTCTCCAATTTCTGATGTCATTTAGAGGCTTAGTCTCTCCACTCTCTCAGTGGCAGAAAGGGCAGAGTCTGGCTGGGCTTTCAGAGCCCACCATTCAGCCATGGCAGCAGAGAAGAAGTGATCAGAAATAAGCGCTCAGTTACCCGAGTAACTTCCTCTTCCTCAGAATGGGGTTGTTCACAGAGTGTAAAGGTTTTAGGCTGACTTTCAGATCCTGGATTCTCATGTTGGCCAACTGCTCTGCATGAGCCTGCTGGATTCCGGCAACCACCGCCTAAATGCAAACACTATCATCAGGTTTTCACATTCATTTTGAGGCATCTAAAAAAGCCAATCTTAAGAAAGTGGGAAGGAGAAGTTCAAAGAACTAAGAAAGCAATTTCACTCTTATACTGATAGTATACAAGTTTAAATAAGGTAGAGTGTTCTTCCCCATGGATAAGCAGGGCCCAGGGAACACCAGGCCAAGTAAGCATCATACAGTCATTAGCTTTCCTTCCCTGGTGTGATGTGCCATGGAGTCGGTTCTGACCCATAGCGACCCTGTACAGGGTTTCTAATCCTGTAAATCTTTACGGGAGCAGAAAGCCTCGTCTTTCTCCCGCGGAACGGCTGGTAACTTCAAACTGCTGACCGTGAGGTTAGCAGCTCGATTCGTAACCACGTTACCAGAGCTCCTTTTCCTTCCCTGGTTGGGGGATAGAAATTCAAGTCAGTAACACTAACAAGGCTCATACATACTCACAATCACTTGGCAAGGACATGTGTAAAAAGATTCTTACATGTACCTCAAGGGAAAGGTTGGCAGGCTGCTGCTGAGGACCCTCAGAGACTAACACCGACTCACTGCCCCGAGGGTTCTCACCACAGTGGAATCAATCACCTCAGTCCTGACCACTGCACAGGGTGACCATGGCCACACCTCATGGGAGGACTGATGCAGTCTTCCATTGGTGAAGCTAGACTGTCCTTTCCACTTTTCTGGTTGGGTCTGTAACTTTTTACTCAAATTATTTGCCACACTGGGCACTTACTCAAATCCAAATCCACTAGGGCTGTCTACTCAAATTCTTCAAGGTCAGCTTGTGACCAAAGATAATGAAAAGCTTAGAAATTGCTATAGTAAAGAACTGTGAGGTTTTGTTTCCTTTTCTTCAGAAAACCTTCCTTGATTATACCTCCTTAATGTTTTCTTCTTCTGAATTCCTGTACTACTCATAAGCAATTTAGTATCCCTGAATTGTTGCCCCTTTGATTTGCATTTACTGGTCTTGCCTTCCCAACAAATCTTGTTTAAACCCTTTGAAGGAAGGGATGGTTTCTTTTTCTACTCCTAGCGTAGTGGTTACGAATCGGGCTGCGAACCTTAAGGTCAGCAGTTCGAAACTACCAGCCGCTCCGCGGGAGAAAGATGAGGCTTTCTACTCCCGTAAGGATTTACACCCTCGGAAACCCTGTACAGGGTCGCTATGGGTCGGAACCGACTCGACGGCACTTAACAACAACAACAACAACCCCATAGTACAAACATGAAGGGGATTCCTTTGAATGATCCCATTGTATGCATTTACTGGGGCTTGATTTGGTCTTTTATAAAAAGCAGCTTTCTATTTCTAACCCTGATTTTCAGAAAACTTGACGTTTCTATGGGAAAGGGTGGGTATTCTGTATGGGTTTGCCTTTAACCCCTCCCTCACCAAGTTAAACCTCAACATCCCTTCTCAGCACAGTCTTTCCAGCCAACAGAATAAGTATCACTCCAAACCTTATCCATCAAAAAACCAAAAAAAAAACACCTTATCCATCATCAGCTGAGCAGAAGGCAGCACATTATCCAAGGCCTCTGTTGAGTTGAGCCATGGGTGGTCCAACACCCCCTCGATGGTGAGTCTCTCTTCTGGTTTGACCTTCAGGAGCCTGTGGAGAAAGGCCGCTCTACTGGGTCTGGTTCTCACCAGCTCTGGCTTTTGACCTAGTCTTCCAAGTCCCAAAGGACTCTGCACGTCAACTCTACCCTCATCCACTCACTAGCCCTAATACTGCCTAACCCCTCCCATATTCCTGTATGTCAACATAGCCAGTGGACCCTGAGAAAGCTGGAGAGTGGGTCCTAGGCCTCACACAATGACCCATTCACAGCAGCCAATAAATGAAAAGTCATTGTCATCTCAACACTAGTTCAGTTCCAGGTGTGATATCAGTTCCAAATGACTGGCTTACATGGAAGAAACAGGAGCACACACCAGGAGATTTACCATTTAGGGACCCGGATGACCATGAACTGGAGACATGCACTAGGGAGGGAGCTGGGCTCACAACCCTGGGCCCATATTCCAGAGATGCACTGTTGATGTTACGTGCTGTCAAACTAGTTATGACTCATAGCAACCCTATATAGGGTTTCCCAGGAGCAGCTGGTTGAGTTTAAAGCGCCAACCTTACAGTTCAAATGAATCTTACGGTCCAGTGTTTATCTTACAGTGCCACAGGAGGACTCCAGAGATGCAACAGGTGGCAGCAGAGCTCCATTTTCACTAAGGCCCACCATCAAAAACTCTCACCTCAGGTTCTACTGATTAGATTTTGTGATGCTCTCACAGGAAGATGCCTAGCTGGGAAACATGGCTTGTCCTCAGAATGTTCTTCACACCACACGGAGACCTCTTCACCCTTCCCACCCAGAAGCCTGAAGACTCACTTTCTTACAACATCTTTGGCCATCTCTGAGATCTGGCTCCACTCTTCCTCTGGAAACTCGAAACTGCCAGTCATGATCTTTCTTCGCATATCCTTTGGAATCGTTCGGCTGTGGTGTTTGGAGTAAAAAGGAGGGTATCCACACAGCATCACATAGATTATCACCCCTAGGGACCACAAGTCACAACTCTGAAAGCAAAAAGGAAACGGTCACGAAAAACAGAAGGAGAGCCACAAAATAAGTCCCCATGACAGGCCCAAAAATCTTAACCTGTGATACAAGAGGGGCTATTTCTAAGAATCACTTCAGAGACTAGAAAAGTTGCAGGAAGTCTTAAGAGAGCTAACTTTTCTCTCCAGGTTTTCTGGATGCCACTGGTAGCGGATTTTACCTGCTAACTTGGCTAGCCTAGGGTACCTAACTGTTTGGTCCAACACTAGTCTAGATGTAGTTATGAAGTATCTACATGTGAATAAATCAGCTGGCTTTATGCACACCACCGTCCATGTGGGTGGGCCTCAATCAGTTAAAACAAAAAGGGAGGAGTATTCTACCAGAATTCCTTTTACTCTCCTTCTAAGACTGATGGAATTTCTAGCCTTTCACTGGATTTACAGATTTCAGACTTGTCAGCCTCTCACAATCAGTCAGTTCCTGAAAAATAAATTCTCCCTCCTTTCCCTCTCCACACACACACTTAACAGACACACACATATACAATTCTCTTACTGGTTCTGTTTCTCTAGAGAACTCCAAGACAACTACCAACACTACACTAAATATACATGGGGGCTTCAAAAAGTTCGTGGAAAAATTCCATTACCTTTTTATTCCATTTTTCCATAAACTTCCCACAGGTTCCTTGTATACACACCAGTATACAAACAAAAAGGAGCTCTGGTAGCATAGTGGTTACGAATCGGGCTGTAAACCTTAATGTCAGCAGTTCGAAACTACCAGCAGTTCTGCGGGAGAAAGATGAGGCTTTCTGCTCCCATAAAGATTTACAGCCTCGGAAACCCTGTACAGGGTCGCTATGGGTCAGATCCAACTCGATAGCACTTAACAACAACAATACAAAGGTGGTCATGGATAAAATAAACAGTCACTCTTCTTCTCCCGCTCAGGCCCTGAATATAGCTGTGAGATCCTTTGCCCCCACCAGAGATGTGCAGATAGAAGTCAGCTGGAACAGCACTGACAATGCAGGAACAAAACAGCCATGACACAGGTAAGGTAACTCCATAATATAGCACAAGCCATTTCTTAAAGGCTACTTCTGCAGAAAACCCAAAGAAATTTGACACATTAGAGAGAGTCACTGAAGGGAGGGCCAGGAAAATGTAAAAACGTTCCTTTAGCCACAAAGTCACTGTGTCCAAACGCTTTACAACATTCTTGGGGAAGATATTCTGTAAAAAGAAGACTGACACCCACAACCATGTCTGCAGGACTAAGTGACTGCTTGGTTAACAGTCAAGAACAGACTCCAATAGTTTCAGCTCCATGTGCCTCGGACACTGGGTTCTCATAAGAATCAATTCAAGTTTCTCTTGATACGCAGGATCCAAGTAACACGTGCCTCAGAAGGGCAGGCCAGTGAACCTGCTCTGTGGCCACACTTCCCATCATGCCAGCACTAGAGCACTGCTTGGGAGAAGTCTGCAAATGGGGGCTTCCAGAACTCTCTTTGATGTTTGGGAATCAGAAAGTGGACATTTAAGGATCATGAGACCCATGCTACAGAATATAACTATGAAGTTATAGAGGTAAAAGGGGATATTAAAATTACGTAGTTCAAATCCTTCAGCATTTAGGGCAACTGATAACTACAGAGGTCATTATATCTTCAAGGTTGTCTATTAAGAATGAAACTAAACAACTTAGCCAGATGGCTCGCTTAGTCTACTGTCTTCTGACCACCCAAAGTCCCTTCTCTGTCTGTTATATCTAGGCTCAAAGTCCCCAAGCATCATCATCCTTTGGATTTACTTGGCAACTAGAGGATTTGTTTCAATAGCCTAAACCTCTTATGCTTTAGGATGGTGATGCTCGGTGTATAAGCTACAGCTTAAGAACATAGCTCCAGGTAACACTCCTGAGCTCTTACTATCTGTACTGGACACTGTAGATGAGTTTGTGGGATAGGAGAGAAAGCTACCATAAATTGTAATGGGATGTATTTGTATCTAGCCTTTGTATCCCAGAAATGGTCTCTACCTCAAAAAAAGCAAGACAACCATGTTGTTTAAATGTAGTCCCTAAACTGTACAGGCTGTTGTTGTTAAGTGCTGTCAAGTCGATTCCGACCCATGGCAATCCTGTGTAGGGTTTCTAAGCAGCAGCTGGCGAGCTTGAACCACCGACCTTGCAGTTCAAACAGATTTGCACTTTGGCGCATTAACCCACAGCGCCACACCAAAACTCCAAATAAAAAAGTACGAAAGCCCATTCTTGCTGCAAAAACCAAATTGGTAAGCATCTTACCTTTCATCAGACAAAAACCGAGCTTCCAAACTTTTCTCTGTGTATGTGTGTGTATTACAGGGAGGAGTGAGTAGGCTGCTTCCAGCCTTATAGACAAGACTGTAAAGGCTTAGAAATGGAAATGACCACATTCTCAAAAGCAACACACATCAAACAGGAAGAAAGGGGTAAGCCCAAGGGGTGCAGGCAATCCTCTCATCCCCTACCTTGTTGTAAGTGTAGGGTGTTGGCGAGGTAGGTATGATGCCAGACTTCTCCTTCTGATGCCTTCTCTGTGCCTCCAGTACCTGTGAGAGTGGCCAGAGGGGAGAATTTACTGAGAAAACACACCACCAATCTGCAACATGAGACAGGCTTCTGGGCATGCCGTTAACAAGAGAAAGAAAGCTCCACCTAAAATGGCATTTCAAAACCTGCATTCCTTATTACAAAGGACTTTATCAGTGTCTGCCCAGGACAAGATGAATTTGTAAAAGTGTAATGCTTCTTACAAACACATTAACCAATGAAAGGAAGTTCATCACCAGCCACCAGGGAACTGAGTAAGAACAAATGGGCAAAACAAATGAAAAATTAAAGGGAAAATTATTCACTGGTGAGAGTGTAGACATGTACTAACTTGGGTGATGGGGAAGGTAGCTATAATGAAAAGGAAAAGGGAGGAGGGAAAAAAGGGAAATTGCTTTCTTTTTATTTTTCCCATGTATTTGAAGGAAAACAATGTATATTTATTTTCTAAGTAGGACAAATCATTGGGAACTTTCCCACAATTGGAAAAAAGTACAGAAAAGAAGGGGGTGTGTGTGAAAGAAAAAGAAAGAGGAGAGAAAGGTATAAAAAGGTTTGGAAATGGATAGTGCTGATGCTTGTGCAACTTGGGGAATGTAGTTGGTGCTGTCGGTGTAAAAATGGTTCAAATGGTAACTGTTTTCTTGTATGTATATTGTTGTTGTTAAATGCTGTCAAATCGGTTCTGACTCACAGTAACTCTGTATACAATTTCCGAGGAGGAGCAGTGATTTTGAACTGCCAAGCTTGTGGTAAGCAGTCAAGTGTTTATCCTACAGCACCACATCAGGACCCATGTATATATATACACATATATATTGCTACAATTAAGAAATAAATACAAACCATACAAAAAGAGCAAGTAGAAATCCAGATTAATAGTAAGATTTTAGAAATAGCTAATACATTGAAAGGGCAAAGGTGTAGAAATGAAGAAGAAATAATTAGGGAGACTGAAGACAAATCTCTCAACTAATCTTCTAGAGGAACAATCAGAAAAAGAATAAAAACAAATAAACAAAAACAAAGCCTAAAAATTAGGTGGGACACCATAACTTATTTGTGATAAGAATCCCAGAACAGAAAGAGACAAAACAAAACACATACACACAGAAAAAAAAACTGTTTAAGACTTGTTGGAAGCAAACTATTCTAAAGACCCAGGAGCTCTGGTAGTATAGTGGTTATGAATCGGGCTGCGACTACAAAGTCAGCAGTTCGAAACTATTGGCTGCTCCGCGGGATAAAGATGAGGCTTTCTGCTCCTGTAAAGATTTACAGCCTCGGAAACCCTGTTCAGGGTCGCTATGAGTCAGAACCGACTCGAAGGCACTTAACAACAACAACAACAACAGGATATAAACCTGAAAGCAAATCAAGAAAAATGTAATTAACTACAAAGGAGAACCAATAAGCTGTAACTTCTCAGCAGAAACTAGGCAGGTAAGATAGCAATGAAATGGCATATGTAAAACTCTGAGGAAAAAAAAAAGCCAAACCCCCCCCCCCAAAAAAAATACCACCTAACAAAATTGTCCAACAAATATGGTGAAATTAATATATTTCCGATAAAAAGAAGTTAAAGGAATTTGTAAAACCTTGGCCAACCTCACAAAAAATACTAAAGGAAGTTCTCTGGACAGAGAACCACCAACAGCAGTTAACCACCTAGTATTAATATACATGACACCACGCTGAAGTAAATTGGAGTATGTTGTTAGGGGGCTTCGAATTGGTTCCAACTCACAGTAATCCTGTATAGGGTTTCCCAGGCTGTAAATCTTTCCTAGGAGCAGAAAGCCTCATCGTTCTCCCACAAAGCAGCTGGTGGGTTTGAACTGTCAACCTTATGGTCCTACAGTACCATCAGGACTCCTCAAATATTGTTGTTGTCAAATGCTGTTTAGTGGGTTCCAACCCATAGCAACCCTGTATAGGGTTTCCGAGGAGCAGCTGGTGAGCTTGAACTATCAACCTTGTGGTTTAAATGGCTTTGCAGTCCAGAGCATTAACCCACAGCGCCACACCAGGACTCCAATATAGAAGTATCCAAAGTTAAACAAATATATAAAGATTGAAAACAGGAAATCAGAGATATTTGTAAATAAAAACAATTACAAAGTAAAAATAGGGATAAATAATGTAGTTACAGAACTTCTAAATAGAATGTAATACAAGTTGATTTCAAGATACAACAGATTGTTTTAAACTTGGAATGAAATTAATAAATTATAGTTAACCTCAAATACCTTCTCATCAAAATAAAAAAGAAAATCATAAAGATTTAGTAACCACTGAAACAATAGCAACAAAAAAATAATTAAAAACCAATAAAAACTTCACAAACAAAATGAATTCAGAACAGAAACTAATGTGTAACAAAGAAACTAGCAGCACCACAAAAATACATAACTAACAGCAATAAATTCATATCTACCAACTATTACACTAAATGTAAATGGAATAAATGCACCCACCAATCAAGAGATAGGTATTAACAGAATAAATAGGAAAACAGAACCCAGCAATACATTCTCTCCAAGAGACATAACTTAGACACAAAAACAAAAAAAAATCAAAGGACTGAAACAAATATATCAAGCTAATGGCAATCCAAAAAAGAGCAGGACAATTTTAATTTCTGATAAGCTTTAAGGCAAAACCCAGCAAAAAAGGGTCAATTAAACAAGAAGACAAAACCATAATGAATGTATCTATATGCCAGAGCCTCAAAATAAATGAAATTCTAACAGAATTCAAGACTCGACAATAATAGTTATTGTTGCTAAGTGCTGTTGAGTAGATTTTGACTCACAGCAACTCTGTATAGGATTTCCAAGGCTTTAAATCTCTGAGGGAGCAGAAAAATCTCATCTTTCTCCTTCACAGTGGCTGGAAGACATTTTGGTTTGCAGTCCAGAGCTTATAGTATGGAGAAACTTTAATAAACCACCTTTTATGAAGGGTAGAACTAAAAAGACTCAGGAAAAAGCTAAACACCCCAACCAGTCAACTTGAGCTCATAGACATATACAGAACACTTCACCCAATAGCACAATATACGTTCTTTCCCAGTGTACATATAACGTTCTCCAGAATAGACCACGTTAGACCACAAAGCATGCTTCAATAAACGTAAAAAGAGTTACATACCACAAAGCATTTTCTCAGATAATAATGCTATAAAATTAGAAATGAACAGTAGACAATCTTTCATCCTTAAATAAAAAATAATCCACTAAAGTCATCTTAAAAATTGAACAGTTTAGCTAAACTAATAAAAAGGTCTGCCTTGAAAATGATGCTCTTTTATAAACTATCTTTATGGGATCAAACTGACAACAGCAACTCAAAAGGTTAAATAGGAACTTTAGGAGGCAGTGAGTTTATGTTAATGAGAGAACAACTCATACATGGAGGGAAAGATGGTCGTAAAATTGAAAGAACGTAATCAACATCGCTACACTGTACACGTAGAAGCTGCTGAGCTGTATATGTTATCAACAAGAAAGCAAATTTTAGAACAGAGGGTTATAAACATTGCTGAGACAAACCTCTAAATAGCTATACCATGGTCACTGTTATTAAGTGTTGTTAAGTCAATTCTGACTTACAGCAACCCTGTGTAGGGTTTCTAAGGGCTGAAGGTGTGGTGCTGTAGGATCAGCACTGGACTGGGAATCAAAAGGTCTGCAGTTCAAACCCACCAGCTGCTCCTCAGAAACCATACACAGAGTCACTAGGAAACAAAATCGACTCAACTGCATTTAACAACAACTTGTGGATTTGAACCACTGACTTTTTGGTTAGCTGTACAGTGCTTATCTTACAGGACTCCCATGTTCACCAATTGGAAGACTATATTGTTAAGATGTTAATTTTGTAAAGATCCATCTGCAAATTAAACACAATCCTAGTCAAAGTTCCAGGATGTTTTTCTACTATAATAGAGAAGTGAATTCTGAAACTTTTATAAAGAAATGCAAAAAGTCTAGAAAAGTCAAAACAATTTTGAAAAACAGCAAATCTGAAAGACATTACCTGAGGCTGAGACAACAGTATAAAGCTTTACACCTACTTCTTACTGTCTACAGTCTTGTCATTCAATACTTCCAATGTGTGACAGAGAAATGCTACTATCCTACTATTTATTATGCACAGTTAATGACATATATCAGGCAGTAGTGAACACTGAATTGCAAGGCCTAGTGTACTGCTGATCGTGATGGCTAAGATTACATAAAAGCATGGTGGGGCCATGATTTTTGGTGTTTTGACAGTTCTTTAATACACAATTTGGCAGCTAATATATTGTTGTAGTCGTCCTCAATCTTGTGATCTGAAGTGACCATCTTCCATTTTCTTATAACATCTAGCTCACATGATGATCTGGTCTTTGGAACCTACCCATGTCAAAAAGTTAAGAGTGGATGTAATAATAAGGGGTGTTACAATAGGATTGTTGTGGTTGTTAAGTGCTATTGAGTCTGTTCCAACCCATAGCAACCCGGTATAGTGTTTCTGAAGCACAGCTGGTGAGTCTGAACTGCCGACCTTGTAATTAAAACAGACTTTGCAGTGCAGTGCATTAACCAACAGTGCCACACCAGGCTTCCTGCTATAAGGATTGTTGTTGTTGTTATGTACCGTGGAGTCAGTTCCAACTCACAGCAACCCTGTACAGGGTTTCCGAGGCTGTAAATCTTTACAGGAGCAGAAAGTCTCATCTTTCTCCCACAGAACAGCTGGTAGTTGCGAACTGCTAACCATGAGATTAGCACCCCGATTCATAAACACTACACTATAATAGACATACATATATCAATAGAATAGAGAGTTCAGAACAGACCCATACATATATGACTGATTAATTTTCAAGAAAAGTGCAAGGGAATTCAATGATGGAAACATAGCCTAACCTTTTCAACAAATGATGCTGAAATAATTTGATATCCCAAATAGGAAAACAAAGATACTTGATCTTTACTTCTTATATAGA